AGCATGAATGAAGATGTCAAAAGAAAATTAACTTCAAAAGACCACATGACAAGGAGACTTAGATATCAAAAAAGAAAACATTTTCCAAAAGAACCTGAATCTGCGACAGATTTGAATATTCCGGACGATTTTAAAACAATTAGTAGCACAAGTGACACGCCGTTCCTCATGTACGATAATGGAATAAATTCAGAAAATCGTTTGATTTTGTATTCATGTTTGAACCAGCTAACGATTCTTTCAACTCATTCAAGGTATATAACTACCGATATAAATATATGTTGCTAGATAATATATTATATTAATATATAATAATATTATTTTTCAATATATAATAATTATTTTAAATTTTTTTAGATGGTTCATGGATGGAAATTTTTCGTTATGCCCAAGGATTTTTCATCAAATTTACATAATTCGCATCCAAACGAGAGATGATTTGTACATAACATGCGTTTATGTTTTAATGACAACCAAAACTCAACAAAGCTATGAAGAATTATTCAGAGCTTTGAAGGATGTTGCACAGAGACATCAATTAACATTACAACCAACTGATGTTATGATTGATTTCGAAATTGCCCCCCGGAGAGGAATTCAAGACGTGTTTGGTCACCACGTTCAGATTAAAGCATGTTTTTTTCATCTGACACAAAGTTCCTGGAGGAAAATTAATGAACTTGGATTAAGTGCGACTTATAAGCAAAATGAAAACATAAGACACTTTGTAGGAATGGTCGATGGGCTCGCCTTTCTACGAATCCAAGATGTGGAAGAAGGGATAATTTATTTGTTAAATAACATCCCAAATAATGATGACGACATAAGAAAATTTGTCAATTATTTTGATGAATTTTATTGTCGTGGAAAATTAAGAATAGTGCCCGGCAATAATCCACTCACCATACTTTTGAGGAGGACACCACCAGTATTTCCCCCTGAACTTTGGAACATGAATGAAATAACAGTTAGTGGGAATGCTCGAACAAACAATATTTGCGAAGGCTGGAACAGTTCTTTTAGGAGTTTAGTGGGCCATTCTAACCCGTCAATTTGGACCTTACTGAGAGCTTTCCAGTTAGACAGATCGATGAATATCAATGCATTTAATCAACTTCAAGAAGGTCGACCAACCTTGAAAAAAAC